CAAATAAATAAATAAAATCTTTAAAAAAAAAGAAGAAAAATGTTAACGCTCAGGACGTGGTGGTCACAGAAGACAAATTTAAATGCACAGACGTATTTTCGTGGCAGACTTACATCATGCCAGACAGGAACATTTTTATGCTACGATCTGAATTCTTATGTACAGATTCCCAGGCCACGCTCCACGCATCCCCCGGGGCAGGGCACCTCTCCTAGCGTACGACACACGGGCCCGTCCCTCCCGTCCCCGAGAGCAGCGCTCGCGCGGCCAGCTCCAGCGTGCGCCACCCTGCCACTGCCACCGAGCTGCGCTCGTCCGAGCCGGGGCCGACACGGCCCCGCATGTGCCTACCTCGGGGTGCGCTCGCTTGGTGCCCGACACGGCTCGAGGAGCCAGCTGGATCTCTTTTGTGGATGCCTTCTTCAATTGTTTGTTCTTTTTCTCTGTCACTTCGGTAACTTTTCTCTTCTGTTCTGCCATCCTGCAACAGAGAAGGTAAATTGCTAAATACATGGGGAATAAAAGGTCTCAGGCCATGCAACATTTTTAAACAAAGGGGGAAGAGCACTCTCCCATTATTAAAGAAGTACAAAGGTATTTCAGAAAATATGGTATAGACAAGTTAAAAGAAAGTCAAATCCCCCAGTTCTACTTTCCCATCAGCTGGGGAAGCCGCAGCATCACAGGCCGCAGGTGACCATCATGCACCCTGTCCCTAGGGCATTCAGTCACCAATGGGTGGAGGGGACCACGATGCGTCTGGGATGGCCTCCTCGGATTGTGGAAGAGGCACCAACTGGGACCACATAAAAGGAATGACACACAATCTGAGAAGTGTTTGCTATGTCTACTTTCTCAAGCACGGTAGTATCTAGAACTCCACGTAAAAGAACAGAGAAAAGCCCGTGAATTCTAAAACACACTTCCTTTGTGGGATTGTGCCACAGGGGAACCAAGAAATGGGTGAAGTACCAGAACCTGGAAGCATGTCAAAGAGGTCGTAGTGGAGAGCCCTCCACTGAGGCCACTGGCTGCTGCTGGGACCTCTGGGAGGGTTCCTCTGAAGGACGAAGTCTGAGGGAGGATGTCTAGGGGGAGGGGATGTCTGAGGGAGGGGGACATCTGAGGGAGACATCTGTGGAGATGATATCTAAGGGAGGACTTCTGAGGGAGGACATCTCAGGGAGGGTATCTGTGGGAAAGACATCTGAGGGAAGAGGTCAGAGAGGGGACCTCTGAGGAAGGACCTCCAAAGGAGGGCATCTGAGGGAGGAATTCTGAGGGAGGGAAATCTGAAGGAGAGACATCAGAGGGGGGATATCTGAAGGAGGGACGTCTGAGGGAGGAAGTCTGGAGGGGCAGACCTCTGAGGAAGGACCTCTGAGGGAGGGACATCTGAAAGAGGATTATCTGAGGGGGGACATCTGAAGAAGGATGTCTGAGGGAGGGACATCTGAGGGAGACATCTGTAGGGAGGACATCTCAGGGAGGCTGTCTGTGGGAAAAACATCTGAGGGAAGAGGGGGACCTCTGAGGAAGGACCTCCAAGGGAAGGCATCTGAGGGAGGAATTCTTAGAGAGGGACATCCGAGGGATGATGTCTGAGGGAGGGACATCTGAGGGGGGGACAGCTGAAGGAGGGACCTCTGAGGGAGGAATTCTGAGGGAGGGAGGTCTGAAGGAGGATGCCTGAGGGGGAACATCTGAAGGCGGACATCTAAGGGAGCCATCTGTGGGGAGGGCATCTAAGGGAAGACTTCTGAGGGGGGACATCTGAAGGAGGACACCTAATGGGTGGGGAAGTCTGGGGGGGGGACATTTGCAGGAGAATATATGAGGGGAGACCTCCGAGTGGCGAACAGGCTGATTCTTAGAGGGAGACATGGGAACTGAACCAGCTCCTGCTGCTGCAGCGAAGGCCACTGCTGGGTGGCGCTGACCGCAACAGCGAGAGCAAGAAGAAGTGCCACCACCCACTCCCCATCCCACCTCACCCCCACCCACCCCACCTGCTCCAGTCTCCCCATTGCCCTCTTTGGGTGGAGCCCAAAAGGAGCTGAAAACAGAAAAGCACTTTGCAGAGGTCCACAAGCTATGATGTGAGGACCACAATGTGGAGTGCAAAATGTGCTTTTGGAGCTCAGATGATAATTTAATAACCAGCACCTGCACATACACATACTGCTTTTCATACGTGTGGTTTTTAGCAGAAACAATCCAATCACACATTAACAAAGGATTAAATAAATAAATCAGAATAAACCAACAAAATGGAAATCAACTCAATAATTAAAATAAATGAGATAGTGTTACAGATACAGAATGGAAAATATAGAACTCTATGTGTAATATTACACAATTTCATTTTAAAGAAAATAATACTGGAACATCTGGGTGGCTCAGTCCGTTAAGCGTCTGCCTTCGGCTCAGGTCATGATCCCCGGGGCCTGGGATCGAGTCCCGCATCGGGCTCCCTGCCCAGCAGGGAGTCTACTTCTCCCTCTCCCTCTCCCTCTGCCTGCCACTCCTCCTGCTTGTGCTCTCTCTCTGACAAATAAATAAATAAAATCTTTAAAAAAAATTTAAAAATATTGAAAAAAACAGTAATAGAGAAAATACATAAAATAAACACACAAACACATATATACACATACTTATGTATACATATATATAAAATGTCTGAAGGATATAAACAAAACCTTTACCTTTATTTATATCTGGGGGTGGGGTTACAAGGGACTTTCTATTTATTCACAGCTAGTTTCATTTTGTTTTCAAGGTTTTATACTTGGAAAAAAAAAATGAAGATTATTTTTTAATACCAGTCCTTTAAAACTCTACTTACAAAGGCCTACTAATATCAGCTTTTATTCTAACAAATTATAAAAATGTATTTCATTTTATTTATCCTAAACTCACTCCCAATGGTTTCATCCTCCATATTCCAGATTTTACATATATATATATATATACACGCACACACACACACACATATATGGATAATATGTGTATCTATTGCATACTTATGTCCATATTTTTTTCAATTTAATTTTAGACATGCTGTTCAAGGCTGTGTATATAGGTAAAGGGACAGAAACCCAATGTCCTCTCCTCTTGACACGAGAATTCATTTTGGACTCTATCAAAAGATAATAAAAATATAACTCACTCAGCAAGTATTTTTTGAGAGCCAATTCTGTGCCAGGCACTGTGCTAGATGCTGAACACAGGGCAAACAGCATGGCAATAACAGCCTTGATTTCATGAAGCTTCCCTTCTAGTGGGAAAGACAGAACTATTTAAGTAAATGAGAGAACACTTTTACATGAGGATAAATGCTGTCAAGAAAATACGACAGAAGCAGGTGAGCACAGGTGACAGGCAGGCAGGGAGACACGCACAGTGGCAGGAGGCCTCTGTGGCCAGTGAAGGACAGAGCAGGCAGCATAGGCAGAGCTAGGTAAGCAAAAGCTGGGTGTGTCCTGATGTACCAAGATGTAAATTTCCCCCAAAGCAAAACTGTTTCCACAGGGACAAAAGGGGAAAATTACACCAAGGCATCAGCTGGTGGAATTAAGCATGCACACACCGTCACCCAGCAATCCCACCTCAGGCACGCTCCACTCCTGTGTGTCGTCACTTGCCGGTCACTCTGTCACCACCTGCAGAATGCTGACCATGTGCTAGGAGCTGCTCTAGGCTGGACCAGGCAGTCTAAAAGACCTATCCACACACAGCTGACATGCTTATGGGGGGACACAAATACAGGATACATCAGAAGATGATAAGTGCTACCCGAAGCCAAACAGAAGTGGGAAAGCATTATGGGAAGGGCAACTATAATGGGTGATCACAATGTAAAGGGCCTAGAAGCAATGCTGACATGAAAAGCCCAGATTTGGGTTCTAAATACCATTCTCTATTAAAAAAGGGGGGGGGGTTGGGGGGGAGGTGCAGAGCTCCTTAAGATTCCTGGTCTGGACCAAGTAAAGTATAAGGTGAACCTGGGATATCAAGCTGTGCTGAACACCCAGGAAACAGTCAAATGATCATAGGGCCACATCCAAGAGGACACAGCGCCAGCATGGAGGGCTCCCTCTGCCCCATTTGGGGCTGTGATTGATTACAGCACAATGAAAGAGTATTACTGTTGTAGAATCAGAAAAATTCCAAGCTCCACGTTCTTTAATTAAGCCTTATCTAAAAAAAGTATTCAAAGTCAGAGGCTACAAATTTCAATTAGCAGTGTAATAAGAAATCTTGAAATAACAAGAGACTGTTGACACAGGAGCTTTGAAAAGACAAAGGACTCTGTTAGCCAATTACCTTGTTGGAGAAATAAGGAAAGTTTAGCAAATATTTACACACCAGTTACCATAAAAGTTAAGCTAAATCTTTATTCATTCTGTAAGTTATCATTAAAAAGTTTAATCACTAAGTCTATTTGCTAAAAAGAGAGAAAGACTTTTCCATATTACAAAAAGGTTTCTTTTAATAGTTCTAAGAGATGGTGTCTCATGACTTTGAGAAAATCAATGTTTGTTATAGAAAACGACATTTCCTTAAATTTATGGTCAGTGATTTTCAACAAGGGCCATTTAATGGGAAAGAACAGCCTTTTTAACAAAAGGTGCTGGGACACCTGGACTTCCACATGCAAAAGAATGAACTGAGAGCCCTACCTCACACCAAACACAGAAATTAACTCAAAATGGATAAAAAATCTAAATATAAGAGCTAAAACATAGGAGTAAATCTTCAAGACCCTGGATTAGGCAATAGTTTCTTAGATGACACCAAAAACATAAGTAGCAAAAGAAAAAAACAGATAAATTTTGGACTCCTCAAAATTAGAAATTTTTGTGCTGTAAATGATGTAAGCAAGAAAGTACAAAGACAATGTCAAGAATTGGAAAAAGTATTTGCAAGTCATATAACTTACAAGAGACTTGTGTCCACCATGTATGAAGAATTCTTACAACTCAACAACAACAAAAAATCCCATTTAAAAGTGGACAAAGAATTTGAATACAGATTACCCCAAAGATGACACACAAATGGCCAATGAGGACATGAAAAGATGCTTAACATCATTCATCATTAGGGAAATGTGAATCAAATGACACGCCACTTCATAGTCACTAGGTTGGCTAAAATAAAAAAGACAGATCATAAATATTGATGATGTGGAAAACTTGGAACCCTTCTTCACTGCTGGTGGGACATAAAATGGTGCAACCACTTTGTACAACAGCCTGGTGGATCCTCAACAAGTTAAACGTGTTACCATATGACCCAACAACTCCACCAGAGAAAATGAACACATCCACATAAAAATTCAAACGCTAATGTTCATAGCATTAGTCATAACATCCAAAAGGCGAAAACAACCTAAATGTCCACCAACTGATAACGAGATCACAAAATGTGGTATGCCCATGCAAGGGAAACAGTCAAATGATCATATTCATTCGGCCAAAAAGAAAAGGAATGAAGCACTGACTGGATAAATCTTGAAAACATTCTGTTATGTAAGAGAGGCCAGTCACGGGATACTACAGATTGTATAATTTCATTTTTATGAAATTTCCAGAATGAGTAATTACAGAGACAGGAAGGTAGCCTGGTGTTTGCTCAGGCCTGCAGTGGGGGGCAGGGGCAGGGAGTGACTGTGAATAGTACAGGGTTTCTTTTGGGAGAAGGAAAATGTTCCGAAATTAGGTTGCGGTGATGGTCACACAACCCTGTGAATACACTGAAACACACAAAGAAAAAAAACCCCTCTAATCGCTCTCAAATTATTTGTAATAAATTAAACAATATGATGGCCCTGTACCAGCTTTCTTTCTTTCTTTTTTTGTCCTCAGCAGTAACCCTATTTCAGAGAAGCTATGGGGGGGCGTGAGCATGTCTAAGCATCTGGCACGTCCAGAGCCAACAAATGCTCCTCGGCGTCCTCAGGTGCTGCTTGAAAAACACACAAGCAAGCGGAGGGAGGAATCCATCTGCTGAGAAGGGTGTTGAAGAAACGAGCGTCAGTGGAGCCCCTGGAGGTCGGCAGTGGTTCAGCGGCCTGGGGCCACTACCTCGGAAGGCTCAAGACCCGTCCTTTATGTGTTTCTTTTTCCTCACAGGTTTTTCTGCAAAACATCTAGTTGCTCATAAAGCTACGCCAGCATAAGCTTTCCCCGTATTTGGTGGCCGGGAGGAAGGTCATGTGGAGGGGGCAGGGGTGTCAGGAAAACTAATCATAACACCAGTGGCCGTGAAAATTCACATTTACCCAGCGCTTACCATGTGCCAGGCCCTGTTCTAAGTGCCGTACACGTATGAACTCAGTTCCTCCTGTGGCCAGTGAGGGTGGCACACGGGTGAGGAAACCGGGGCACACCTATCAGGGGGCAGACCTCTGAAGTTTGAAAGTGATCCCAGTTTGAAAAGCTGAAAGATGACAGGGCTTGCCTCCCAGGAGCAGCCCAGGGGCAGCTGACCGCTGCTGTTCTTTTCCATGTCCCAGTACCTGGAGGTTTGTAGCTGTATGCATGTATTACTTAGCTAACTGGATAGGTTAAAAATTTCTTTTACATAAACGATTTTTTTTTTAAAGATTTTATTTATTTGAGAGAGAGAGAGAGAGAGAATGAGAGAGAGAGCACAAGGGGAGGAGGGTCAGAGGGAGAAGCAGACTCCCCGATGAACAGGGAGCCCGCTGCGGGACTCGATCCCGGGACTCCAGGATCATGACCTGAGCCGAAGGCAGTCGCTTAACCAACTGAGCCACCCAGGCGCCCCATAAACGATTTTTAAAATTCTATTATTCAGGATTAGCCAGAGAATGATGAAAAGGCCGTTATCATGCCTACTGACAGGAGAATAAATTGGCACAGTCTCTTTAAAAGGTAATTTTATAACATTTATCAAGTGCTTTGGCCTGTAATTCCACTTCTAGAACTTATCCTGATGAAATAATCATGGACTGAGATTCAAATATAAGGATGACAATGGCACTGTACAAGGGATGATAACGCCTCTTCAATTAAAAAGTTGAAAACCCCATAAATTTCCAACAATAGCTGACTGGGAAAATGAATGACTCGTTTGCGCACAGGAAGACGCCTGCCCGAGAGCACACCAAGCGCTCAGTCATGTGAGTAAACGCTCAGAGTACAACGTAAAGGGAAAAGATGGGGCGTAAACCTACGGATGTACAATGTACCCTCATTTTGTAAGAAAAATGATACACAAATATGTATGAAGCAAAAAACTAGAAGGAAATACATTAAAATACTAACATTTTAGGGAGTTAGAATTACAAGTATGGTTTTCCCCCCTTCTACTTTTCTGTAATTTCTACAACAAAAGCAGAAACACAACACTTTATTTTAAGGTACCAGCTCTAAGTGTTCAGTGGAGCAAATAATTACTTCTACCAGCAGGAAGCTGAGGACCCACATCAGACACACAGAGACCAGCTAACCGTCTGGGCTTGGCGACAGTCACTGGTCAGGACGTGTCGGCACCAACGGGCTGAGGCTGCCGGGTCTCCAGGGCTGAAAAGAAACCCCACAGGAGCTTAAAAAAATAAATCAGCCTATAGGAAAAAAGTCTTCTTAAATCTGAAATTCCCACCCGTAGCCCCCAATGCGCCCTCTCACCCAGAGCATGACCCCTCTGATGCGTCCCATCAGGCTGCAGGGAAGGGCCCCTGGAGGAGGGTGTGTGCCCTCACAATCCACAACCCTCGAGGAAATCCGTCCAAGGAGTCCAGGAGTGGAATCCCAGCTCCTGTGCCAGGACCAGGACTTTGTTCCTGTTCATTTTGATCCAGACTGGTCTGCGTTCTGACTTGCCCACTTAGAATGGCCTCCAGACTTTGCTCTCCAGGGTACCTTACCCTTCCCTCACCCTCCTCCAAATGCCAAACTCAAAGCCCAGTTACTACAAAAGCTCCAAATTTCTTACTCACCGAGCCCACCTACCCTCTTTGCAGCTCACCCTGCTCAGCACCCCGGGGTCCAATAATCCTTCAGCCTCACCAGTGGCCCCACACTTCCCCACCCCAGCCACTCGCCTGGAAGAGCCTCTCCTCTCAAATCTCCAAGGTCTTCTCCCTTCTCTCACAGAACCTTACTTCCTGGTCACAGAGGAAATCAAAGCAACTGGAAGGGAACTTCCACGAGCTCCCACATTTACCCCCCACCCTTCTCTCCTGTTAGGATGCAATCCTGCCATTTTCCAACAGAGGCCAAACTCTCCACTCCGGCGCTGGGTTCTATGCTCCGCCTATGCAGGGACATCCCTGAGCAATTCCCCTCCTGCACTGTTCCAGCTTTCCTTCTACTCAATCAACTAAGATTTCCCACATCGTAAAAACTCTCTTGATCTCACATGCTCCTAGCCCATTTCTGCTTCCTCCTGCCAAGATCCTCAAGAGCCACCTACCCTCACTGCCTGTAACCCCTTCCCTCCTGTTCCCTCTCACACCCCTCCCACCAGGCTTCTGCCACTCTACCACAACTGTTCTCAAGATCACCAAGGACACCATAAGGACAAAGACTCTCTCTGTGACCAAACTGTAGCCAGGCTCCTCTCTCCACTGGTCCTCAACCTTGGCCCACAAAGACTTGAACAAAACACTAATACAGTTTCTAACAGCTCAAGGCCCCAACCCTACGATGACCCCAGCGCCCTTAAAAGTGCCTGCCTGAGAAAAGTCAAGGCTGCCAAAAGAACCCAGCCAACACCCGAAGATGGGGCCCCACTGGATGGCCCTGTGGAAGGGTAGGCGCCTACCTTTGATAAGTGCCAGTTAGCAAACCCAGATGGGTTTCACATGGACCGACACCCCCACCCCAGCTTTTGTAGTTTTTCACTTCCTAAGTCTACTGAGTGCCGCTCCCCCTTCCCATCCCTAGTCCCTCAGTCACCTCTGGACAAATCCAAGGTCAGCTGAGTTCACACAGCTCTTATCCCTACTGCAACAGTTATTCCTGATTAAAATCCAGCCTTATAGGGGCGCCTGGGTGGCTCAGTCGTTGGGCGTCTGCCTTCGGCTCAGGTCACGATCCCAGGGTCCTGGGATCGAGCCCCGCATCGGGCTCCCTGCTCGGCGGGAAGCCTGCTTCTCCCTCTCCCACTCCCCCTGCTTGTGTTCCCTCTCTCCTTGTCTCTCTCTGTCAAATAAATAAAATCTTTAAAAAAAAAAAAAAAATCCAGCCTTACCCCTTTAACTACAGTCCCGCTTGCTCCTCACAGACATGAAAGCCCATGGCAGATTCTCAGTACTCACCTTGTTTGACCTAACAGCAGCATCTGACAGCTGATGCTCACTTCTCTCTCCACATTCTTTTTTTCTCTTGGCTTCCAAAACAGACCCCACAACCATCTGCTTTTCCTCCTACCCCTTCACCTCTCTGACCCTCGGCACTAAAGGGCTCCAGTCTTCGAGCCGTTTCCTCTCTGCCTACATGCATTCGCTAAGTGACCGCACTGTAGTTGTGCAGGAGCTCCAAACACCAACTATCCACGGGTGACCTCGAACTTCTCCCTGAACTGCACTAGTACACTCTGTCACCTACACCCTCACACATCATCTCAGACACAAGGCGTCAAAATCGACACTTCTGATCGCCCTCCACCAACCCATCTTCCTGTGCCTTTATCCTCTCAACCAATGGCCACCTGGTGAAATACAAATTTTAGCCCAAGCTAAAGACTGTGGTGTCCCACGACTCCGGTATCCGTTAGCCCCGCTGGCCTTGTCTCTAAAGCACGTCCAGAGGGCAGTGCCTGACTTTCACTCGCTGTACCACTGCCATCCGCCCATCTGCGTTTCTCAAGAGCCCGCGTCCCTGCCCCCTGCCCCTCCAGTCCATTTCCAACACAGCATGCAGAATGACTCGGAGAATGCCCCAGTCTGGCTCTTGGGCATTCCAAGCCTTCCCATTTCGCTCGGGGAGGAGTCCGCGACCTCACCTAGGCCTGCGGGCGCACGTGGCTGCCCGACGTCCCCCCTGTCGCCCGCCCTCCGGCCTGTGCTCTCGCCGCAGCGGCTGCTGCTGCGCCCGGGTCCCTCCACCCCGGGTGTCTACGGACACCAACGCGGCCCGCTCTCCGCGCCGTGCTCCGCCTCATTTTCCTGCCAGCGGCCACCACCACCTTACTCATTCGTTCTGTCCGCTCAGAACGCAAGCGCCCCAGGTCGGCGTCGTTTCCGCCGCGAGTCCGGCGGCCAGCCCGGGCCCGAGGCAGGCGGACGCGCGGGAGCCCACCGAACGCTTTAGTCAAGGGGCGGTTGTGGCGAAGGGAATGCCAGGCTCGGGGGGCACAGCCCGGGTAAGCCGGCGGCTCGGACCCCGCGCGCCCTCTGCGGACTCCGCCGGTCCCTCCGGCCAAACGCCGGGGTCCCGCACCCACGTGGGAGCCGCCCCGCGAACCCCGACCCCGCCGTCCTCGCCTACCTGCGCGTGGCCTCCGACGCGGGCTTCCGGCAGGCGCGCGGCCCTGGTAACACGGTCCCGCCCTCCGGAGCGGCGTCGCCCATTGGCCGAGGCCCGCCTCCGTCTGCCCGCCGCCCAATGGCATGCGGCGGCCGCGAGGGGGCAGGTCCAGGTGCGGACGCGGGCTGGTGGCGTCATCTCTGGGCGCTGCGGGTTTGCCGGGAGCCGCGGGTTGCCTAGCAACGCCTGCTGGGGCTGCGGCGCCGTCCTCCGTTTCTGGCCGCTGGGGCCCGAGGGCCCCAGGCGGACGGCCCGGGCGGTCTGTTTGGGCGCACCAGATTCGTCTTAAACGTAACTCATTTGTATGAACTGAAGATGCTGTAACTATAGAACTGTGCACAATGTTTGAGCGCCGCACAGGTGGAGCCCCGGGAATGCTGTGTCGGCTTAGGGGTCGCTCGGGCGGCCCCACGTGGCTTTCAGGTGCCCGAGTGGGGTGACTGTCGCTGCCTCGGAGCATCTGGGGGTCTAGGGACGGGAGCGGCGGGAGCAGGTGCAGTTCTGCGGCGCCTCCCCTGCTTCTAGGTGCGAGGGTAGCTCCCCGCGCACGCAGGTGCTGTTCAGGTAACACGCCACCTTCCCCCGGGTGCGGGTGCGGCTCCGGTCACGCCCCGCCCTCCCCCGGGTGCGGGTGAGGATGCGGCTCCGGTTACTCCCCGCTCTACCCCCGGTGCGGCTCCGGTCACTTCCCGCCCTCCCGCGCACGCAGGTGTGAGAACGTCCAACCTTGCTGATTTCAGGAGAAACTGTCCTGCTTTCAAACTGCCCCGACGGCCTCGTGGCCCCACGGAGAAGAGTTTTCCTCCCATAAGCTTAAACAGCATATCATGTAATGTAAAAATATATAAATGAATGTATAATATATTGTTTAGGTTTGCCTTTAAAAAAAAAGCTCTGATCATGTAGGAATGGGCAATTCAGGTCAGCCTCCCATTGAGAACAGCAAAAAAAGCTGGCCAAAATATAATCGTTTAAAAATAATTCTGTTTTAGGGGCGCCTGGCTGGCTCAGTCTGTGGAAGATGCGAGTGTTGATCTTGGGGTCATGAATTTGAACCCCACACTGGGTGTAGAGATTACTTAAAAATAAAAAACTTTAGAAGATAATTCTGTTTTATGCTATCAGAGTGAAATATTCTGACGGGATAAAAGGAAACCCAAAGTACTACACCTGACATTTAGCAACATTTTCCACTCAGGGGTCAGTCGGTTCTGGAAGAGGCAGTAGGAAGGCTGAGAACCTGAACAGAGATTGACAGCTTGGTGGGCTAGAGCTGCTAAGGGGGAGGGTTCTTGTAAAGGTCCTATCTTTGAGCTGAGACCCTGAAGAGCTACATTGTAAGAGTGAATACCACCAAAGAAGACCAGCCTTGCAGGGACTTCATAAAATCCATATTCATCTCAATTTCTGAAACTGTATTCAGGTGATTCAGGGTTTATTGTTGGTGCTGCTAGCCTGCTCAAAGAAAAAAGGGTAAAATCTTCCCAGAAGAAAAGTATAGTATCCTGTAGCGCAAATTATAATTGCTCATATATTATGTCCAGCACTCAATAGGAAAGAGCTGTGTACACAAGAAGACAACACAATGTGATAGAAAACCAAGAAAAAGATACCATTTTCACCATACAATGGACTGCTGCCACACTCACCCAAACTTGTAACTTCATGGGTCTGAAAATGTCCCATTCCCAATGGACAGCTCCAGTCACATGCTAAGATGATGTCCATGGCCAGGTGCTCAATCTAAGGCCAGGTAGCATCCAGAGCTCCTTAGCATGGTATGTAATTCTCTACAGCAGAGGACATGACTTTGTGCCAAGCTCTAGGGGACGGTGCGAGGGACCACACACAGTCTCATCTACCATGTATGTACCTCTCTAGCTCTATTGGACCTTCCAAGTTATATGGCCCAAGTGCAGGACAGCTTATGCCACAAATTGGATCTGCTGCAGAGCCTTCCTTTGCTTTGGGCCTCATTCGACACCAACAGACTTCCAAGTTTCCCAATAAATGAATAGTGGTCATATTAAATATGGTCTATGCTGCCTCCCAAATCCAAAAGGCAGAAAATTGTATTTGCTTTCTATTTCTGCATAACAAATGAACACAAAATTTAGCAATTTTAAAAAATAAAACAATAAATTTAGCAGCTTCATGTCACAGTCTCGGGTCAGGAATATCAGTGTGGCTTAGCTCTGTGCCTCTGACTCATGGTCCCTCACAAAAAGCTGAAGTCAAGGTGTTTCCCAGGGCTGTGGTTTCATCAGAAGGCTTGTCTGAGGGACAGTCCATTTCCAAGCTCACACGTGGCTATTGGAAGGATTCACTCCTTGAAGGTCACTGGGCTGAGGACCTCAGTTCTCACTGGCCATTGGCGAAAGGCCTCCCTGAGTTCCCTGTCACGGGGACCCCTGTAAGGGCAGCTCACATGGCAGCTCGCTTCCCTGGGGCAAGTGAGCAGGAGGGCATACAAGAGGGAAGTCACAGGCTCTTTGAAACCACATATTGTGTGATTCTGTTTACATGAAATGTCCACAACAGGCAAATCCAGAGACAGAAAGTAGATTAGCAGTTGCTGGGGGCCGGCGTTGTGGAGAGAATGGGGAATATTAATGGGTATGAGGTTTCCTTTTGGGACACTGAGAATGTTCCGGAACTAGATGGTGGTGATGATTGGACAACATTGCAAATGTACTGAGTGGTACTGAATTATTAACTTTAGGATGGTTAAAATGGTGAATTTTGTGGGGTTCTTATCATGAAAAAAGTGTTTGTTCCTCCATAAATGTGGTTATGTTATTCATGTCAAAAATGACTGTGTTTGGGCGCCTGGGTGGCTCAGTCGTTAAGTGTCTGCCTTCGGCTCAGGTCATGATCCCAGGGTCCTGGGATCGACTCCCAAATCGGGCTCCCTGCTCTGCGGGAGGCCTGCTTCTCCCTCTCCCACTCCCCCTGCTTGTGTTCCTGCTCTCGCTATGTCTCTGTGAAAAAAAATAAAATCTTTAAAAAAAAAAATGCGTTTGTTGGTGTCTGTGTGTCTCCAGTCATCGGGCTCCCCACCCCCAGCCATCTTGGCTGAACTTTGTTGAATATGTAAAACAATAACAGGAGTCCAAAAGTTAAGACTGCACAAGAGAGCATTCTCCTGCTCCCAACAATCCTGCCTCATTCCCACCCACCCAACCTCACGTAAGTAGCCAACTTCATTAGTTTCTGGTTTATCCTTTCTGAGCTTCTTCTAGCAAAAACAAGCAGATGTGTGGATATTTCTTTCTGCTCTTCCCTATACGGAAGCACTGCACACATCCCTCTGCACCACGCTCGTTCAAGCCTACAATCCATCCTGGAAATTTTCCATCAGTTTAGAGGCATCCTCTTATTCCTTCCCACAGCTTCACGGGGCCCCATGGGTGGACTTACTATGGTTCATTGAATCAATATCCACACACGGGCATTCAGTCTCCAGCTCTGCGATTGTAAACTGTGCTGCAATGAACAATCGTGCACATGTGTATTTTACTTGTTTCTGGTATACCTTCAGGGTAGACTCCTAATGGTGGGATTGCCAAATATACTTCTGCTGGGTATAGCCAGATTTTCCTCCGTAATGGCTGACACTTGGTATCCCCAATAGCAACGTGTGGACGTATCTCTTGCTTACAGCCTTGTCAATAGAATATGCCGCTCAAGTTTGGATTTCTGCTCATCTAATATGAGAAACAGGACCTCAGTGTGGTCTTAATTTGCATCCCTCCTAACTCAAGTGAGTCATCTCTATATCCCAGGATCATCCTTACATACTCTTGTGTCACTTCATTCTTCACCCATCTTCCTATCTGGTTTCTGATCTTTTTTCCCCCCTCAACGTGTACATTTTTTATGTATTAGAGATATCAACCTTTATCTGTGACGTATGTTGCAAACACCTTGTCCTCGTTTGTCACCTGTCCTTTGGTCTCGTGTATGCTGTTCTCTGCCATGCGACTGTGCTTTGCAACTATGAATGCTTTCCTTCATCCACCTGACTTTAGCATCATTGTGAGGAAGACTTTCCCACACCCAGTTTTGGAGAAAGTCACCCAAATTTTCTTCCCATAACATGTTTGGTTTCATTTCTTACATTCACGTTTCTGATGGGAGTCCCTGCGTCTGTGTGATGTAAGGTATAGACCTAATGTTACCTTTCTCTAAATGGCTACCTAGTTGAACCAACACTGCTGTTCAAAAAACCCATCTTGGTTCCAGTGATTTGAGATACACCTTTTATTTATTTTTTTAATAAGATTTTATTATTTATTTATGTTTACGAGAGAGAGAGCACGAGTGGGGGAGGAAGGCAGAGGGAGAAGCAGACTCTCCACTGACCAGGGAGCCTGATGTGGGACTCGATCCCAGGACCCTGGGATCATGACCTGAGCTGAAGGCAGACGCTTAACGACTGAGCCACCTAGGCGCCTGAGATACACCTTTTATCACACCCGAGTTTCCATACGCACCTGGGTTTGTTTCAGGGTTTCCTGGTCCGTTTTACGGGCCTGTCTCTTGCTGTGCCAGTGTGTACTGTTTTCCACACGAGGCTTTACAGTGCGCCGTGAGACCAAGAGGGGCTTTCATTCCGTGTCTCCTTGGCTTTTCCTCCACGTGTAGTTTTCCATACGACTTGAGTGTCGACTTTTGTAGCTCCAGAAAAGCAGCTTGTTGGTATTTTTATTGGGATCCTCTTAGATTTAAATTAGTTTAGGCAAGCCAAAAGTAATGGCAGACAACAGAAAAATCAGAAAAGACACAACCGTTCTAAGCCCTGAGCTCCACAGTCACACACTTTGCAAGGACACTTAGAAGGAAAATAGAAAACTTGGGAACGGCATGCCAAGTTTCCAAGTGGATTAATTCCTCTTACAAAGGCACTTGTCAAAACTGCTATCAAAAAAAAAAAAAAAGACTGAGAGAGAGAGAGAGATGATGAAGTTGGAAGTGGTTCTGACCATTAAAACAATAGCA